GGAACACCCCTAGTTTCCTGAATGGTAACAGTTGCTCCACTAGCACGACGAATATAACTTATGCTTGCACCAGCCGTTCCAATAACAGCATCAGCGTAAGAGAGGGGAATCTGCATTTGTTGCGTGACCTGCTGAAACACACAAAGACTACTAATTCAGAACTTTGTAACAGATTTTACCTTAATTCATACACTTATGACCTATTATTCTCTCCAGAATAATTTGTACATTAACAGAATGCTAATAAGCTAGATTTTAGTAGAGTGAAAACAGCATGCAAGAGTCCAAGATAAATCATCAACACCAAAAAAGGGGTACTATAAGAAAAGTGTTACCAAGTGTATCAAATTGTTCCCTTACAATTAAATTATAGATAAAAAGCAACCTAGATTTTCAATATAAGATTGTACTAAATATAAAATGTTTACCAACTAAATTGCTAAAATACCCTCCTATAAACCCAAATCTAACTACTCCGCAAACACACACCAAATCAATCGGCTGCCTCTTCCTTCAGGTCTAATACACAGAAGATATACAACTCCTTCAACATAATCGGCTCAATCCCTAATCAAAAATCTTACAACACCCACGAGCTCTTTTTTGCTTCACCATAGTTGATTCAAGTCACTCAACCCCGAATAAAAAATCCCTCAACAAACACAAGCTGCAGAGATGGGATGGAAAGCTGCGGCAATGCATTAAGAGCTGCAGCAAGCCGCACCTATCAACAAGTCGAAAGCTTCACCATGGCCTCCTCTCCGTCAGGTGAGTGTACTTGTTAATTATTTTCTGTTCATTTAGTTTAGGATTGAGAAAAGTTTCTATCATTTAGCATTTGATGTTTTGGACTATAACTTATGGGCTTTTAGATATCAGTTGGGTGATGGCGGAATCAGTGAGAGATGAAATTTTGGCGTGGAGAGGCATCAATGGATCGAGGACTTAATACCGAGTAACTATGTTTTAGGCCGTATGGAAGAAGAGGAACGAAAGGGCCTTTGATGGGGTTGATGATGTGAAGTTTGACTTACGAATAAATGGTTTCAAACCCTTGACTTTTTGTTATAAGTCAATTCTCCACAATCGATGAGAGATTTAGGGGACCTTATTAATCTTTGATAGACATGTAAATTCTTTTATACATGGGTTGGCACCTCCCTGGTGCCCATATTAATGCTACACTTAGCATTTTTTATTTCAAAAAAAGAATTTAACATTTGATGCTATTAATGGAAAAAAACCATGAAATCTGTCAGCTAGTCTACTCCTCTATAATCAATCCTCGTTTGTTAACCATATGATCGTTTTGATTCATGGGAAATTTTCGCTATTTGGATAAGTTACTCACAAGGTTTTAAATCTATTATTGATTTATAACATGCGGCAAGCCCAACAAGTTTGTAAAGGGAGAAGCTGATTAAGCAGAGGGAGAGAAAAAAAAAGATTTGCATCCAGAATGTAGAAAAACTTGGAGAGAAAAGAAAGAAAAACAAAGAATAAGGATGTCTGTAAAGAAAGAAGGTGATGGAGAAAAAAAGAAGAGTGCGGCAAACTATTTTGCCCTTCAACAAAAAGAAAATGTGTTAAAGTAAACATATTCTTTTTTATTTGAAGCACCAATTTGATATGAGTTTAAAAAAACAAAGTCTTATCCGATTCAATTTAATTATGATGGGCCAATCTGATACAGTTAGTGAAATACAGAGAGGATATTGATAATACCAAAAGAAATATACAAGGGTACAAACTGAAATCAACATGATGTAGGACAGATTAGCGTTGATCTACCAACATAGGCCTTTGGGATTAAACTTAGATATTAAACAGGACTTCTTAGATAATACACCTAGTTGGATTTCTTATGCATCACATCTATGGTTTTGTACCATTACAAATGAAGAGTGCATCAAACAATCACAAACCTAAACCACTATAAAATTCTATAATTGATTGTTGTACTCTCTTGAAAGAAATTACAAATGTTGACGGACTCTCATTTAATCCTAATCTAATTGACTAGAAATCCTACTAGGAAACTTGAAAGAATTTAACCGTAGATTAATTTCTAATGCTACAAAAATTACAAATAATAGACACTAAAATAAACTTAAACTACTCTTCCAATTCTACTTCTACTAATGTACTCCACCAGAATTTCTAAGCAAACTTTTGGAAAGAAGTGTGTAAGGCTCACTAAATACCCCAAGGAAGGTAACCAATTAACTCATGTGGAACTTGGACCCAATATCAATTTTCCTTCACTCCAGTGACTTCTGGAATTGTTGGAGAAGTTGCAATTAAAGAAAAAGAAACACATAAAAGTATTTCTAATTTCCTTTCTGCAATCTTTCCTTAAATGATTGCAGGATGAACAAAACACACAAACTTAACTAATTGTCAGACCAAAGGATCAGTAAGATATTTGCGACCTAATTCTTTTTGGTCAATACAATAGTAGCAACCAGCATAACAAGGGAGTGTTAAAAAACAAATAAAAAACCTGTGTGATCATTGATGGTGCTGATTGGGCATTTGACGATGCATGCATGCCCATTGGAGCCTCTCTTCCATAAGCAGATATACCCTGATGAGGCTGTTTCTCTATAGGAGGATGAAGGTCAGCTGGAGGATAATAATTGTCAACTTGTCGAGGAGGCATGTATTGAGGACCTGGTCCAAAACCTGGACCTCCACCAGCATTTGGAGGAATGCCTTGAGGCGGACCCCAAGGTTGATGAGGAGGGATGTGATCCATTTGTGGGTTTGGCATTTGCATCTAAAAGAAAAAGTTCAGAAACATGGACTTTATTACTCTTTACATGCAAAATTGCTCTTGACTTTGATAAATATGAAAATCCAACAAGTAAATTACCCGCATCTCAAACAAGGGAATTATACTGCGGTCAACTAAAAACTTCCTGAGATGAGATGCAATTAGTTCAATTGCTTTGTGCACACCAACTGGCTCTCCCACTACTTCAACAACCCGATCATCTTGAAGAGCAAAGACAGGTAGATCTTCTGCAAGAATGCACTTTAAAATGAACAGTTGTTGACAATTTAATGAATGGTGCCTAAAGCATCGTCCACAGACGGGAACAGAAAGCATGATAGATTATCAACAAAATGGCATTAAATTTGATAATAAATTTTTAAAACGATTTATAGTCATTGTGGTTGAAACACTGATTTTGGATATAGAAACAATCTGGTGCCACCAGCCCCAACTCTTAGATACTGTTTGGGAAGAATCAGTGAAAGCAGCTCTAATTACAGCACTCCATGTTTTTAGTCCCATGAAAATGATAAAGGTGAATGCATATCCTGAAACTTAGACAGCCACTCAAAACCAACTCTATTTGAAAAAGAATCTAAACATTCTTAAAATTCCATGCACCAATAAACTTATAAAATCCAATAAATTCACACAACATAGAACACACATAACAAACATTAGTCCCCATAATCTAATAATGAATATTTTCAGAAACCAAAATAAGCGATAAGCTTCCACCGATCAGCCATGAGGACTTTATTTTCCCAGCAAAACCAAGCACAAGATGTGTCAAGAGAAAAGATTAAAATAAATATTTTGTTTTGAAATACAAAAACAAAAACAAAATTTCCTTGGTAATTGGAAAAATAAATGAGCCTAATAAAATCCTCATAAGATTACCAGTCCCAAGAACTCTAACTATACAATTAGATCCTTCTTGAATGGATTTGACTGTTCCTCCCTGTTTTCCAATCAAACTTCCTGCCTGAGATGCAGGGACCAGCAACCTTGTTGAAACCTTGCCACCGGTACCTGGTGGAGCATGAGAAGGATCACCCTCCAAACCATCGACAATTCGCTTATGAACTCTCAAGAGGCCATCCATAGCAGGAGGAAGACAAGAATCAGGCTCATCCTTGGCAGATACCATTACCTGCGCAGGAAAATATATGCCAGAATCAGTATAAAATTAATTATTACATGTGTTTGACAAGACAATCAAGATGAAATGATAAAGATTTATTTTATAAAACCAATGAGCAGTAATATAGCCCTCTTTTGATACAAATTAACCATGGCATTTCCTTCCAGCTCATTAAAGTGATACAGAATCAGTACATGTTTTCACATATCAAAGAAAACACACTTAGCTATAGAGAAAGAAAAAAAAACTCTAGGAAAGTTAGAAAGTTTTATACTAAGTTTGCAAAGTTTAATCTTTAGCTTTGAAATTTTACAATTTTTCAAATGTTTTTCTTGTAACCCTATTCCCTGCATATTTCATCTCTAGTTTCAACCATATTCCTCCTTAAATCCCCAAATCTAGTTTTCTATTTCTGCAAATTATACAAGTTTCCATCTGTTATTAAGTTTGACCTATTGGCATAAGATTGTTAAATTTGTTTATTATAAGGTAAGTGAACAAGAATCTCATAAAGCAGTGTAGTATTATCTGTCATCTTCAGCATTATCTCAGACTGAGTTTAACAGGTTCCTTTATGGTGTTTACAGCCTGCGGCAAGACATCAATCATCCAGATTCCGAAGTTACCAGAATGAATGCAGAACTTCATGGTATGTTGTTTGTACAAGATGAATCTGTGTTTATCCAGATCAACTTTTCAGCAGTTTGTAATCAATGCTGATCCCTGCAATCTGGACCTTTAGTTCTTCAAATTTGGGACCTTATTGATGATTGATTCGTTGCCTTAAAATTTGCGGAACAGAACCTGCACATATTCATTTTTGTCATTGAAATAAAGGAATTATATTAATATTTTATGGATTTCTTTGATGATCCTTCCTCCTTATCTCCATGGCTGAATGAAAACTGCTTTCAGTCTTTTTTTTCCACTAGCTAATACTACATTCTCTCTTTCCCTTCAAATTTTTTATGAAAATATTAGATTTTTTACACAATATCAAGTTTAAATTTTCAGTTTTCTTAAGTTTTTACTTTCACCATGTAATGCACATATGCCATTAGCTTCAATCTATTCTTTATAATGATTTCAGTAAATGTAAGCAGTTTCCCTGATTAGGAGACTTCTACTTATATTTAAAAAGCTTTGTTTCATATTTAAGTTTGTTCATGTAATTCTAAATCATTTTAACTCAAGCGGCATTTATTAGCACTTTTTTTTTTTTTTTGGTGGACTCAAGGGGGCATAGCAAGACTTGAAATAAACATCATAAACCCTTTGTTCAAAGGACACACAAACTGTCCTGAGGCCAGTTGGTACCAAAAGAATCAGTTAATCATACTTCAGAGATGAAACCAAAAACCCGCATCAAATTTCATACATACTTGATAAGGCAAAAGAAAAAACTACTCCTTAAAATCTTGTGATATATTCCACATGTAACCACCTCCAAATATCATGTTGCAATATATGGAAATTGCTACACACATTACTGACTAGAAATTAGAGATAACCTAAAGGATAATATCCAGCAATTATCAGTAAGAAACTTACAGCTCTTTCACTTGTTCCTGGAGGGCCATCAAGAATCTTAATGCGAGCCCTTGTCTCCTCAACTATTTTCTTAATGAACTCCCCTTTGCGCCCAATTATACTGCCAACCTTTTGTGCAGGGACCAACATCCGGAACACACTCTCTCCAGGCCACCCGGGCCATCTCTTTTCAGCACTACCAACTGCAGCATCCCCTTCATGTTCTAGCTTTTGTTGCGGTTCTGAGTTTTCAGGTACCTGTTCCTGATCTTCCAGCTGATCTTGGACCTGATCTTGTAGCTGATCTTCCAGTTGATCTTGTAGCTGATCTTCCAGTTGATCTTGTAGCTGATCTTCTCCCTGATCATGTACCTGATCTAGTAGTTGGTCCTGTGCCTGAATTCCGTCATGCTCGAGAAAACTTTGTTCATGTTCAACTTCTGCCATTAGAGTTGCGCTGAAGGAAAACAATTTATTACAAATTAATTATTATTCTCCCACCACAGAAGAATGGACACTTCCTTAATAATCCTCCTCATGTAACAGAAAAACATACATACCCATGAAACAATGATCATTCAAGATGCAGAATAAAGTGCATCCTTCAAAGAATAAGGTTCCAACTATCTCAATTAGAAGAAAGTACAATAATCTGATATAGCTTCAAGCCCTAAGGTTCCAACTATCACAGTTAGAACAAAGTATAATAATCTGATATAGCTTCAAGCCCTCATGCACACAGAGCATTCATGTTTCAGAAACCTTCAGTGAGTGACAATAAATGGTCACATTCAAAACCATTAAGACATGGAAAATCAGGGGCGTAAAACAACCACCCAAATTTAGGTAGAACCAACAGGTTTGAAAGAAAAAAACCTGACCTGACATGATAAAATGTCATCATTAATGAAGTCTTAAAGTGTTATTTTTTACAAAAACAGTTATAAAATACGCTTTTGCTAACCCTAACAGAACATTTTTGCTAAAACACACACAGCAAACATCAATGGAACATTAACTGAAACGAAATGAAGCAAAACACAGGTAAAACAAATATATCAATATACTAATGGAAGCCAAAGCCGAGTTACCTCACTCCACTTAATACACTGACCACCCAAGCTCTCGGATAATTAATTCACTCCAGAAACCAACATCCTCCAAAGCTTAATTAACTTGCAAAGTTTAAAACCCGATAATAGGAAAATTATTAAGTTCGAGAAACACGAAGCCCGAGAAAGTTGGGCATGGCTATTAAGGAACAAACACGTAACCCTAGAACTCCAAAGAAAAAAAAAAGATGAGGAAGAAGAAGAATAAGAAAACGAAGAAGAAAAGAGAGTAATCAGCACTTACATCCCTGAGGTCGATAGCTGAAACAGAGCGCAGCAGACGAAGAATGAGATATTTGGGCGTGAATCGTTGCTTAGGTATCAGGGGGCTTTAATAGAGACAAGGAGAGAAAAGAGAGAGAAAGTAAGAGGTCAGGGATCGCGAGAAATTATCTTGAACAAGGATGGAGGATTTTTTGCTGATCGCTCCTTGGAAATGGTTGAATCTGCATTCTAACCCAATCTTTCATGTGAAACGGGATGAAATGGGCTGCACTAGCATGGGCCTTAATCCGATGTCAACACCTTCGCTGTTCCTGCAATTAGGGCTAATGAATTTGGACGAATCCCGCAGCCCAATTAAACTAGGGTTTTGCTAAAAGATCCTCCATAATTTTCAAAAAAGTATTTTCATACTATTAATTTATCAAACTCCCAATATTCGAAATAATTAGGCGTATGCATTCGGACGTAAAAAATTTACAGCCCAATAAAACTATAATTTTTGTTAAACGAGCCTCTATAATTTTTTAAAAAAAGTTATTTATTATTGTATAATTTTTCGAACAACTCTCATTATTCGAAATAATTATACCTATGCATTCGGATAAAAAAAGTTCGTAACCCAATAAAACTAGAGTTTTTGCTAAACGGGCCTCTATAATTTTTAAAAAAAAAAATTCCTTATTATTGTATAATTTATTGAACAAGTCTCATTATTCGAAACAATTAGACTTATGCATTCAGACGAAAAAAGTTCTAACCAAATAAAATTAGGATTTTTGCTAAATGGGTCTCTATAGTTTTTTTAAAAAAAAATTCGTTATCATATAATTTATTGAACTCTTGTTATTCGAAATTATTAAGCGACGAAAAAAATTTGTAACCCAATAAAATTAGGGTTTATGCTAAATGGACCTCTATAATTTTTTTAAAAAAAAAAAAATTCTTTATTATTGTATAATTTATCGAACAACTCTCGTTATTCGAAATAATTAAACCTATGCATTCGGACGAAAAAAGTTCGTAACCCAATAAAACTAGAATTTTTGCTAAATGAGCCTCTATAATTTTTTTAAAAATAAATTTATCATATAAGTTATTGAACTCTTGTTATTCAAAATTATTAAACGATAAGAAAAAGTTCATAACCCAACAAAACTAGAATTTTTGCTAAACGGGCCTCCGTAATTTTTAAAATATATTTTTTTCATACCATATAATTTTCGTTATATAAAACAAAGACTCGCTCATCTTGGTTTATATTGCATGGATGTAAAATCTCATATATGTATATA